ACTGTAGAGAGAAAATTTATGTTTGCACTTTTGTCTGTTCTACATACTAATCCTGTTAATTGCCTTTGAGGTTTTATTATATACCTATAACTGGACTAGTTTCCTCAAATATCTGCCTACAACTCTCTAAACTAACATTTCCAATTGTCTCCCAACCTTCAAAATGGGAATCACTAACTTCCTTAAAAGGGACTATACCAGGTCCTCTTCATTACTCAGATGGCAGCCAGACTTGGGGACTTAAACCTTGTATATACATCTCACAACTGATAGATACCCTATCTGACACTGGATCCTGCACAAACATTAGAGACCTTCAAATCAATTTGATGGAGAAAAGTAGCCGACATTGATGTAGACTGCTTTCTCCCAAGATGCTGAATCAAGACTTTCTATTATACCTAAACATAAAAATGTTTCTTCTTTCTTTTCTTTACTCTGGCATTGACCTGGAAAGATAACACCATTGTCCATATTTCCCAGGCCATAGCTAAGGAGGTAACCTCTGGAATTTAGAACAACTTTTTATTTCAGGCTAGAAAAAAATCTAATTGACCCCTGCATTAAATGGACAATTGTGCCCCAACAGGATTTATTTTTGTCTGCCGTCTTCATTATTCTCCTTGGGCCTATGAATGTTTATATGGCTGACTTATAGCCAGGTATTATATAACTGTGCACCTAATTATTCTAGAAAAGACCTACCAGAGGGTAACCAAAATTTAGATATTAATTCCTTAGGCAGGCCCATATTTTCCTAGATTAGAGTAGATACAAATGGGAATATGATTAGAAACCTCTCCTTAAAGCTTGGAGACAATGTAGATTCCATTGCTGTTATTAGCTGACCAACAAAAATCTTTAGAATCTCTGATCAGAGTTGTTGTTGATAACAGAACAGACCTTGTTTACCTTTAGCTGAGCAAATAGATGTCTGTGTTATGATCCTGCTGTACCTGGATTAACACATCTAGGGAAGTTGAAACTCAGTTACATAAGATCCTTAAGCAATCCATTCAGTCTAAAAGGATGACTCCTTCAATGAGGTTTTTCTTCGGTTTGGATTCTAGGAACTATGGCTTCAAAGTACAGTCCAAATATTGGGAATTATCCTGCTTATAGTTATTGCACTAATCTTCCTAGTGTTATATCTTCACAAAAGCTTTAAATTCATGTTTGCCACCACTTACTGTCAAGCAAAATGATCTCTCTAAAACTGGAACATCAAAAAGGGAACAGCTCTGGCTGGGGTGGCTCAGTTGGTTGTAGCATCTGTTCTGTACACCAAAAGATTGCAGGTTTGATTCCCGGTCAGGGCACATATCCAATTTTTCTGGTTCAATCCCCCATCAGAGTGCATATGGGAGGCAACTGATCAATGTTTCTTTCTCACATCAATGTTTTTCTCTCTCTCTCTTAAATCAATTTAAAAAAAGGAAACATTCTCAGGTTAGGATAAAAAAAAAATAACTTAAAAAAAATAGAAACAGCCTGGCCAGTGTGGCTCAGTGGTTGAGCGCTGAACCATGCACTAAGAGGTCGTCAGTTAGATTCCCAGTCATGGCACATGCCCAGGTTGTGAGCCAAATCCCCAGTGGGGGGCATGCAGGAGGAGGCCAATCAATTTCTCTCTCATTGATATTTCTATCTCTCTCTCCCTTCCTCTCTCTCTAATATCAATGAAGAAAAATAAATTTTTAATGGAAACAAAGAGAATTACTTATTTAAGGATTATGAACCTGGAACTTTGACCCTTTGAATGAGATTAAGCAAAAACATCACCCATACTGAACATCAGCAGAGCTGCAGAGTGGTAGTTAAGAGTGACACTATTACCTTAATTTTTCTAAATTACAATTGACATTCAATATTATTTTATATTAGTTTCAGGTGTACAGTATAGTGGTCAGACATTTATATAATTTACAAAGCAATATTCCAATGTCTAGTGCCCCTGTTGCCTTAATTTTTTAAAATTGATTTTTAGAGAGAGAGGAAGGGGAGCAGAGAGAGAGAAACATCCACGTAAGAGTGAAACATTGATCAGTTGCCTCCCATATACACCCTTCTTGTTGCTAAATGGGATAATGCCTGATTTATGAATTACTTAATAAAGCCAATTAGATCGTCAAATACACTCAGTTGAATTTTTTAAAGTTTCAATGACAGAATTTCAGAAACCAGAACAATTAGGTTACAGAGTATTTCTGGAGGGAACTTTTACATACAATAAGTCCTTACTTAACATCTTTTATAGGTTCTTCAACTTGAAGCAAAATAAGATGAAAAAAACCAACTTTACCATTAGCTAATTAATATAAACAAGAGTTAAGTTCTGCCTGGCAGGTGTGGCTCAGTAAACTGATCACTGTCCCATGGACTGAGAGGTCCTACTTTGAGTCCTGGCCGATCAATGTTTCTCTCTCACATCGATGTTTCTATCTCTCTCTCCCTTCCTCTCTCTCTAAAAAGTTAATAAAAACATATTTTTTAAAAAAGAGTTAAGTTCCTGTGGTATTAATCAACCTTATAACAAAACAACCTTAATCAAAACATTATTCAAGGACTTGCTTAATTCTTAAATTATACCATGGATGAAAAGGGGCCACATGCTAACCTGACAAGCTCAGGGAAGGCCTAGGTGGTGGCCTTGCAAACTCAGAGACCTAAAGTAACCACAAAGGATGGTCTGAAATTAAAACTTTTTAACTAAAAGCAGCTTATGGCAGGTAGTCATGTCCTAGACTAGAACCTTTCCTGACAAAAGTCAGCCTTTACCTAAACTGAGCTTGTCTATTGTCTTTTGCACCTAGGATAACATATTTTTGGAATGTCAGGGTAACTTCTCTTTTTTGAGAACCTTCAGGGTACAGCCAATACACTAGAGCAGAGATTACACAACATCTCTATTATTTTTATTGTGTCAATTGTTAACTATTAACTATCCTATACCCACCTATGTAAAAGATATATCATTCTCAGAAATGTCATTCCAATCTCAGAAATGTCCCCACTTTGCTTTCTCCTACCTCTCTAATCCATCACAAATTAATTTTATACAACCCACTTAGGTCTTCTCTTTTGATTGTAATATATAAAATAAGATACAAAACTGCCATTCTCTAGAACATTGTCTCAATGCACTGAGATTTTTCTTTCTAACAATTGTCAACAGTTTGGCTCAAGTACCAAACTCACAAAAATTATTTACAGGTTTGAATGTTTCCTACATTAACAATACTATTTAATTAGAAAGGCTGGTTGACTTCTTAATGGTCTGTTACTACGATTTCTTATACTTCCACTGCCTTACTGTTTTTTTCTGATCAGTGTTTTCATTATTTTACATGTAGAGAGCCATTTTTTTATTCCCAAGTATTTCAATTCACTCAGGCAGTTCTGTCTCACAAAATTTCAATGATAGAAATGTGTGTGGGGAAGAGATAAACCACAGAACTTATATGCATGTATGCATAACCAATGGACATGGACAACAAAGCCAGGGACAGGGGGGGGGGGGGGAGATGGGGAGGAGGATGTCAATGGGGTAAAAAAGGAGAAACATCTGTAACAAAAAAACTAAAAATTAAAAAAAAAAAAAAAGAAATGTGTGTGCTGCCATACATTAACCACCATGTGACTATTGAATATTTAAAATATGGCTAGCCCAGCCAGTGTGACTCAGTGGATTGAGCGTCCTCTCATGAACTGAGAGGCCCTGGTTCAATTTCTGGTCAGGGCACATACCCGGTTGTGGGCCAGATCCCCAACAGGGGGCATGCAGGAGGCAGCTGACTGATGTTTCTATCTCTCTCTTCCTTCCTCTCTCTAAAAAATCAGTAAAAATATATTTTTTAAAATAAAATAAAATATGGCCTAGACGGTGTGGCTCACTGGTTGAGCATCGACCCATGCACCAAGAGGTCGCCAGTTCGATTCTGGGTCAGGGTACATGCCCAGGTTGTGGGCCAAATACCCAGTGGGGGTCATGCAGGATTTGGCTAATTGATGTTCTCTCTCATTGATGTTTCTATCTCCCTCTCTCCCTCCCTTCCTCCTTCTCTAAAATCAATAAAGTAAAAAAATGTTTAAAACAACAACAAACCAACCCTTCATATTTCTTATGGAGACAATATAATAAAGTATTATAAGCACAGGAGTTTATCTACAGGTAACACTAAATTTTAAATTGTTAAAATACAATCTGTACTCTCCCTAACTCCAGGAGAAGTGGTCTCTCGTGCTATAGTGATTTGTCACAAAACCCTCACGCGTTAAGAGAGCTGGCATCAGGGCTGATTAATATTTTCCAAGAAGGCTCGGAATTTCTTCCAAAGTTGGACACAGGCCTCTAAATTTATCTAGATGATGTTTATTTATTAAATATACTTTTGTTTACTTTTTAGAGAGAGGAGAGATGGAAACATCAACGTGAGAGAAACATCAATGGGCTTCCTCCTGCACACCCCCTACTGGGGATCCAGCCCCCAACCCGGGCGTGTGCCCTCCAGAATGGAACTGGGACCTCTTAGTCCATGGGACGATTCTCAATCCACTGAGCAACACTGGCTGGGCTAACAGATGTTTAAAAGAAAACACCGGGAGAGCAAGAGAAAGAAGGAAGAAATGGGGTCTTAGGGAACTTCCTTGGTCTTCTCCATTCACCCGAACCTCACGAGTACTCCAACCTCCTGGGGTCATTCCTAGCGAGTCCGGGGAGGCGGGCCATCTTCCGCTCCAGAACCGGGACAGCAGCCTCTGGTGGTCCCCTTGGTTCTACCACTCTTTACCTAGACCCGCCCCACCCCACCCCACACACACCACGCCTCCCCAGTGAGCCCCTTGAGTTCAGTCCCGCCCCGCCGCCTCCAGTCCAGGCGACGCCGCTAGTCAGCGCGCTGACGTCCCACGCTCCAGGTACTTTCCCCAGAGCCGGTCGGGCTTGGCGTGGAGGCGGGGCGGGGCCGGAACGCGCATGCGCCACAGCGCCAGCACTCTCCCCGGATCGTGCGGGGGGCCTGAGCCTCTCCGCCGGCGCAGGCTCCGGTCGCGCTAGCTCGCCCCAGCGGACATGTCTGCCACCATCGAGCGGGAGTTTGAGGAGTTGGATGCTCAAAATCGTTGGCAGCAGCTGTACTTGGTGAGTCGTGGCTCGCGCAGCAGGCGCTGTACTCCTCCGTGGACCCAGGCTCGCGCCCGCAGGCTCCCTCCCGCTTCCCCCGCCTCTCGCTCGGGGCGGAAGTGGCGGCGCGAGGGCCGCGTCAGGGCTGCGCCTGCGCCAACCGAGTCTCTGGTCCGTTTTGAAAAAATTTTAAATGGAGAGAGAGAGACAGAGACAGAGAGAGACAGAGACAGAGAGAGAAACAGAGAGAGACAGAGAGAGACAGAGAGACAGAGAGAGAGAGAGAGTGTGTGTGTGCGCGCGCGCGCGCACCAACCGAGTTTCTGGTTCGTTTTGAAAAAAAGATTTTAAATGGAGTGTGTGTGTTCGTTTTGAAAAAAAGATTTTAAATGGAGTGAGTGTGTGTGTGTGTTGTGTGTGTGTTCGTTTTGAAAAAAAGATTTTAAATGGAGTGTGGGGTGTGTGTGTGTGTGTGTGTGTGTGTTGTGTGTGTGTCGTAAGCGCAAGCGCAGAGTTCTAAAAGGCGGCGCCGCAGCGGCTCCTTGTGGCGGTTGTGGATGTGTTTCCCGGCCCTGGGTCGGTTTGGGTGGGGACCGGATCCCGGTAGCCGAAGGGCCGGTGGTGGCTGGTGGTGGCGGCGGGGGACCTGTGAGACCTGCAAGCGTCCGAGAGGCCGTGGGAACTGTGGGAACAGCCGGGGTGGGGGGTAAGGTGGGGTAGCCCAACCTTGGGAGCTTGCAGCGGGGAGCGGCTGCAGCTGCGGTGTCGGATTGTGCTTCGCCGTCCCGTGCCCTCCCCTTGCCTAGTTCTGTTCCGGGACACCTTTTTCGCCGGCCAGGTGTTCTGTGACCGAGCGGGCAGAGACCGACAGTGACACCGATTTCCGTAGCCGCTGCCGGCCCTTGCCTTACTCGTGTGGGTGGTACCTGGATCTCTCGAAATGGTAGTGCCTAAACCGTGGTGGTGGCGAGAGTTCCTGGCGATCAGCAGTCTTAATTTTTCTCAGAGAGCCCAATACTATATCAGGAACGAGAATAGACTTTGGTTGTATTAGTTAAAGAATAAGGATGTCATCCTCTTTTCACTTTCTTTACTGAGGCACACTTTACATAACAATAAATACACGGATCTTATATATATATATGTTTAAGTGAGTTTCATAAATGTATACACCTGTGTAAGCACCACTCAAATCAAAATAATCTTTCCATCACCCCAGAAGCTGCTGTCATGCCCCCTTCTCCACCCCAAAGGCCCCACCACTGTTCTCATTTGTTACCACCATAGAATAATCTTGCCTGTTCTCAAGCTTATGTAAATGGACTCATAGTTGAACTCCTTTGTGACTAGCTTCTTTAGCTCAACTAGAGAACCTTTTAATTCAAATAGAACTTGATTTTATCTCTTTTAAAATGACTTAATTGACTGTTTTCTACTATTTACTCATTAGCATATTATTCTCAAGATTGAGTTAAGTAGTTGTGAGTTAAATGCTGCTCCTGCTGGTCAGTTCACTCTCTGATGGGGGGGGGGGGGAGGCTTTCCTGTAAATCTTGATGGCACTGGGTTTTTCCCCCATTCCATTTAATTAGATGACAGTAAAAAAATGTTTTCTTTGTCATGTTCAGAATGTAACATTTTCCTCTTGTACACAATAGCGGGGAAGTGTAATAAATATCTTAATTCGCATGGATACAGACTATGTTAAGGTGGGGCACTAACTTTAAAGAATGTTGGTAAGGACTTTTCCAAATATAGAAAATTTTAAATGCAAATTCTGGTAGGAATCTGTGTGAGCCTGCCAGCTGTGTCTTCTCCAGTTACATTTGTTTTAGCAGAGGCTGCTGTCTCCAAGTTGCTAGTAATATATTAAAATACAGATTTGAGAAGAGAAAGGTGAATGCTACAAGTTAACTCTGCTTAACATTTTGGTTGAGCAGCTTGCTAAATGTGTGTGTGTGTATATATATTATATATATACTTATATATGTAATATATATTTTTTTCCCCGTGAAAATTATTATCCCTGTTATGAGAAAATGCACTTATACCCACTGAAAATTTCACATTTGGTTTCAAGGAGTTCAGGAAGCCCTTCTGTGGATTCCTGCCTAGATGTCCTTTACTTTATTGGGTTGGTCAATACTATTAATATTTTCTCCTAATGGAAGGACAACAGTATTAGTTTGGTCAGGAGAAATCATGCAATACACACTGGTGTTACAGTAAAAGTAGATCATAAACCAAGAAAGTTGGCAATGGAAAGCAAGCTTAGGAAGAGGCTTGTGTTTTCCTTGTACTCTAGAAGCCATTCTACCAATACGTGCTGAGCTCCAGTGGAGTGCTAGCCTCTGCTCTGGGCCTTGGAGATTCAACAAAGAATGCCACTGACAAAGTTCCTGTTTGTTTTATCCTCATCTGAGGATATGTTTTATTGATTTGAGAGGGAGTGTGTGTAAAAGAACAAATGAACGAAAGAAAAGAAAGATGTGAGAGAGAAAAATCAATCAGTTACCTCCCGTACACGCCCAGACTGGGGATAGATCCTGAAACCCAGGTATGTGCCCTGAATGGGAATCGAACCTACAACCTTTTTAGTGTATGGGATTGTGCTCCAACCAACTGAGCATCCGAGCAGGGCAAAGTTCCTATTTCTTGAGGACCTCACATTCTAGGATTTGTTTTCCTGAGTGCCTCATTCCAATTCAATATTTTCATTCATTCACTTATATCTGTTATGTGTGTTAAATCCTAGTTTTTTGTTTGTTTTTTAGCAGGAGGGAGAGATTGAGGAAGAGAGAGAAAACATCGATGTGAAAGAAACACATCAACTGGCTGCCATCCACATGACCCCAACTGGGGCCGGGGACAAACTGTAACCGAGGTATGTGCCCTTAGTGGGAACCAAACCCGGGACTCTCTGATCCACCGGCGGATGCTCTAACCGCTGAGCCAAAGTGGCCAAGGCTCTGTTATACGTGTTAAGATGGAGTCCCTGCTCTTAATTATGCAGTCTAATGAGGAACAGAAAATGGGTAAGCAGTTGAAAATGTAAAAGTAGTAAGTGCAAAAGCTAGTATTAACCACAAGGTGCTACATATCCCCCAAAGCAATGTGCATTGGGAGTTCTGGTGAATGTTTCTGGAGGAGGGAGGGCCTTACCTAAGTCTTGAAGGACAAGTTGACCAGGTGAAGAGAATTAAGGAGGGGGAGAGAATTAGTGTTCCAGAAAAGGAAGAAAGGTGTGCAAAGGTACAGAGCATAGAATGCCAAGAGAACCACCAACAATTTTAGCCTGGTGAGGAGTGAGGTATGAACATGAGGTGCCTAAGAGTAAGAGTTTATGAAGCTCTTGTAAATCAGACCAAGGGATTTGAGCTAGTTGATAGACATTGCTGAAATTTTAAGCCTGGAAATACTATGATAAAATTATATTTACTTTTCAGCAAGGCCATTCTACCGGTGGGTTGGATGGGGCTAATTGTAGGCAGATAGCACAGGAAAGTAGTCTGTTGGAGTAAACCTAAAGGAAATGTTGAGCTCCTGGACTAAGGCAACAGCAGTAAGAATGAAGGGGAGACACAGATTTGAAATTATAAGGAGACAGATGTATTTGATTTTGAAACTTCATTTGAAGTACCTGTAAGAGATAGAAATGGAAATAGTTTTATATATACATTTGGAGTTTCGGAGAGGTCTGAGCTGGAAATACGATTTGGAAATCATGAGCACATAGGTGGTATTTGAGGTCCTAGATTTAGGTGAGTTCACCTAGGGAAAATATAGGGGGTTTATGCCCTGCCCGGTTCGGCTCAGCGATTAGAGCGTCAGCCTGTGGTCCAGAGACACTCCGGTTTGGTTCCCACTAAGGGCACGTACCTTGGTTGCAGTTTGTCCCTGGCCCTGGTAGGGTGGTGCGGGAGGCAGCTACTCGATGTGTCCCTTTCACAACGATGTTTCTCTCTCTCTCTCTCTCTCTCTCTCCCTCCCTCCCTCCCTCCCTCCCTCCCTCCCTCCCATTCGATCTGAACAAAAAATGGAAAAATGTTCTCGGGCGAGGATAAAAAATAAAAAAATAAATATATAGGGGGTTTGGAAATGCTGAAGGCCAAGGACGGAATCTTGATAAACATCATTTAAGGGCATATATATATAGAAAAAGATGCTTACAACAAAAGACTGGAGAGGAATAGCTATAGAAATGGGGAGAAAATTGGTGGCAGGGTATAGAGGGAGTTGATGGTCAGCAGGGCCATGTGCTGCAGATGGGATAACAAAGGTCAAAACCGAAAGGACCCATTGAATTAATGACTAAGAGATAAACAGATACCTTAAAGAGAGCAATATCAGAAGTCAGATGCCTGGCACTGAGAAAAGAAGATGGGAAGAAGTACAAATAAGCAAGTGTACACCACTCTTTTAAGAAGCCCAACATAATGAAATGGAGTGGGGAAAGGTAGCTAAAATGAAGCATGATTGTGTGACTTCTCTAATTTAAACCTTGAATAGTTTCCATTGCTTGTAATGTAAAATTCAAACTCGTCTAATAGCTCGCAAAACCACGTGTCCTACCTCCCAATATAACTTTCTTTTCTTTTCCTCTAGGTTCCTTCCTTTTTTTTTTATCCTCACCCGAGGACTTTTTTCGATATTTTGTTCAGATAGAGTGGGAGGGAAGGAGGGGGAGAGAGAGAGAGAGAGAGAGAAACATTGACGTGAAAGGGACACATCGAGTGGTTGCCACTCACACAACCCAACCAGGGCCGGGGACAAACTGCAACCGAGGTACGTGCCCTTAGTGGGAACCGAACCCGGATCTCTCCGGACCGCAAGCCGACGCTTTAACCGCTGAGCCAAACCAGCCAGGGCTTATTGTTTTTTTGTTTTTTTTTAGGTTCCTTCCTTTAAATGTGCATGTCCATTCTCCCTTGGAGCCTTCATTTTATTATTATTATTATTATTTTTAATCCTCACCTGAGGATATTTTTGTATTTATCTTCAGACATAGTGGGAGGAGA